AAAGAGTGAGCAAACAGTTGGTGCACCTGGCTAAAGAAAAAGGAAAAAAAGCACACAGAAGGAAAACATTCAGGTATAAACTTGACTGATGGTGGCAATAACTGACAGGTAAGAAGTGCTAAAATGTAACTTAGTGCCTATGAGAAGTTTACCACACAGCGATGAGAAGGACGGACAACACAGACAGGCACTTGGACAGTTACAAGTGCTGTGGCTGCAGGCCAGCTTCAGCCTGGAATCCAACCTGCACTTGGTGATGGCTGCTAAGGGCAGCCGAGTGCCTTCACCTCCGGGTGACCAAACAGAGCTGCAAGCAGCTTTCTGCTTATATATTTATTTCCTAAAGATGTCTCCCGGGTTATTTCTACGGCTATGCAAAATGTTAAAAACACAAAGGTAAAATGAGTATTAGAATCTCTCATCTGGTTCTCAAGAAATCAAACTGATGCTGACATCTCTCAATCAGCTGAATGCTGGAGGAGCAGGACCCCATTTCTGAAGAGAAACAGGCAAAATTGTTTCTTCAGAGAAAAACTGTGCTCCTTTATCCTTCTGTTTAGTTATCTTTCTCCAATAAACTTGTAGAAAACATGGCCATGCTCCTATCATCCCTAAAAAGTTTTAACAAGTGCTACATGGGAAATTATTGCTGAAGACAAAGGTGATTAAACAAGCATCAAGTGGATAAGCAGCACCTAAAACCCAAAAAAGCAGTGTGCCACATTGACAGGGAAAAGCCCACCACAGAGGAGTTACCAGTAAAGCTCCTAAAGAAGCCTGGTCACACAACTTGCCTTTTAATACTTTCATTAGCAATCTTCACCAAAAATAATGTGACTGTACTCGAGAAATCTGTAATTATCAGTTAGTATGAACCAGAGTAAGTAGTAAAAGGTAAGAAGTGCATACAGAAAACCAGAGCTTTCTCTAGAAACCAGAATCAAAGACTAAACCTAGCAAAAGTTTCAATTAGCCCTTGCCTGCTGGAAGTTAAAGATACAGAAGGAAGGAAAAGTATTAGGGCACAAGAAGTTGCCCAAGATGTGTCAGCAAGGTCACAGAAATGGCTATTAACCCTAAATGTGTCAGAGTACTGACAACAGAGAAAGTATTCATACTTACCAACAGTTTGTACAAGACCTTATCTGGAATACTACAGAAATTTTGTCACTTTGTGTCAAGAGAAGGTTAATTTAAGAACAGACAGGTGCAGACAAGAGCTATTTGCACTGGCACAGAAAAGGCTTAGGAAGAGCAAACCTTATTTTGAAGGATTTTTTTACTTTTTATCCATAGTGAAGAAACATTTATTCAAGAGGGAAAAGAATTACTGAGGCTCACGTTCAAATAAAGTGAAAAATGGACAAAATGGCCACGATTAATACTTGAAACAATAAGGCTTCTGCTCGTCAGAACAGCGTGGTTCTGAAAAGATGGGGTAACAGTCCTTTAAATAAAGTAAAATCTCATGAGTTGGTAAGATGTACACCAAGGCTACAGGCAGAAATACAGGACTGTACATAGCAACAGGTCTCTTCTGCAAAAGTTATCCCAAAAGCCAAATACTATCAGCCTATAAAAACCACTACCAGTAATGCCAAAATAAGCCCCCAACTCCATTTATTTTGCACAGCTTTATCCTACGTTACATTATATTTGCTACCCCCCCTGGATGTGGAAGGCCTTACCTCTGTTATCATTTTACAGCTTTTGCATGGTCCAATCTGGCTGAATAACTGAAGTATAAGAACTTCAGTCACATCTCTGGAGAGGTTTCCTACGTAGCTACACAAGGAAATAAAAAACCAACATTTTAAACCAGAAATTTTCACCTTTTCAAATACAATTATGACTTAAAAACCTTAAATTACTATGAAAAATCTCCCTTTAAATACCCCTGGCATCTTAAAGACTACTTATAAATTATTTCAGGATATGGCTTTAAAGCAATATTTATGTACTTTCGAAATGATGCAGTTGGCCACAGCTGAGAACATGAAGCTCCATACAGACATAATACTGGACACTGATATCTAATGGCAACTGTTTCTTTGGCAGAGAAATGGCAAAAGCAGGAAGAACATTGCTCAAGAACCCTGGGTACAAGCACAACCAACCAGATGAAGATGTTTTAAGCGTCACTTCCCACTGAGCACCTAATCAAGACTACTCGGAATCTGGGTACTAACCCACACCTAACTCCCATTAGTTCACTAGCAGCTATTGGACAGAAATTGTGCTGCCTTGCAAGGGACCAACTCAGTTTTTCTGTTTCCATGCACATTTGGAAAACCAGCCCATGCCCCAGTAGGCAAGGTCATCGATGCAGCGTTATGGCAACTGGAACACTCAGCACAGCACCTACCTCAGCAGCTACCACCTCTGTAAAAACTCCCCAATTTTGGCAGTGTTACTTTAATATCACCCATACCTCCTGATTTTTTTATTTATAAAACCTTCGAAATAATTTCACGTTTTGAAATACCTAACAAGTTCAGATAGCATCTACATTTACCCAGATAGACAGAAATCCAACAGCAGAGGTTTACAGCTACTTCTAGATACTCTGTTACATTTTACACTCCCAAAAAGTAAAACCAGGTCACTGAGATGGCTGAGAGAGTCACGCATGCAAAACTGAATTATTAACAACAAAAAAGTGACTCATTTGTATTCAAATTGTACACAAAGCGATCAGTTAAAAGAAACGCTTGTCACAGCAACAGACCTCAAGAGTCATCAGCACGGGGCCGTTCGTTATCTTTACAAGCAAGCCCGTCAAGACAAAGTATTCAAGTCCAACCAATAACATGAACAGAACTTTTGTGATTTAGCTGCTGAAACAATAAACATTTTACTCATCTTACCAACAAGAATGTCGTAACACAGTCAACTAAAGTCAGTCTGAGCTGCTAGTACACTTCAGTGAACCTAAACATGAACCAGCATTTCTCAGTCTATGCATAACCCAAATTCTTTTGAGTACAGCAATTTAAGTGCACACTTTTGCTTAACGGGCACCCCTTTAAAAATTTTGAAAAGCAATTTCTGTGTTTGACAACTGGACTTTCATCCAGCTTCAGCAAAATCAAAACAGACACTGTCTGTTTACGTCTGAACACCACCTGATATCAACAGATTTTTTATTACGTTGTTATTCTTTCAGCAACTACGAAACAGTTCTGCACTTTCTCAGCCAGGACTTAAACCCTGCACAATATCCAGAGGGAGTTTTTTATACATCACTGCACCCAAATATGAAAACAACCATTAAAAGCTTTCGTGTACTCATTACTTTCTTACTAAATATGTAAGAATTAACAGAAGTCATTAAGAGAAGCTGCATTTGTAGCCTGTGTTGTTACGAGGCATTTCAGTAAAAAATTCCAGAATTCTGTAAGACCCGTTACAGGACAAATTGTCCATTTTATTGACTTTTCAACTCTCTACTCTGAAAACTTAGCAGTTAAACATTTATCCACACCTTCTTTCCGAAACCTTAACTAAATTTTTGTTAATCATTCACCAAGATTAAATTGCAAATCACTGGGAGTTTTAAATGGAAATATTAACCTTTGCAGATACCACTAAAATCAGATGGAAAATACAACTACACGTAGGAATTCGCACACAAAGTGTCAGCACTGCTGTCAGTGTATTCCTAGCACTTGTCTCCTTTGCATGTTGCAGAACAGAATTAGTTCACATCACGCCTCAACAGCGTATTGATGTAAGCACCTGTAGGGTAGCACTGGCATGAAATTAAATACAGTGAAGTCCTATTAACACGATTTCTACTGCAAAATCAGATACAGTAAGGAGTACCATTAACATACAAATAATCTCAGCCTCTTCTGCATGATAGTAATAAGGATTTTGGAAATGCAACAACTCTGAGAAGTGACCTGAAGAATTCCTCTTGGTCTGACAGAAAACCCAGAACAGCCATTCCTCAGATACCTGATTAAGGTAAGATAAATTACACTGACTGCCAGAAGACAACCTAGGTGGTTTGCCAGCACCTCTGTGTCTTCATCAAGATAGCTGTGAGCGAGAAAGTTGCATCGTAAACTTTAGCTACGAAACACGTTGCCTCTTCATAAAAATCGGCAGTGTAATTCTGGACCACCTGATTGCTAGATTCAAATGGGATGTAGAGACCTGATGGTCCACTAATTCTGTAAATGTATATGATAAATACTGCCTCAGTGTTTAATATAGCCACAGTCAGAAGGCATTAGAACCCTCCACAACTTGCTAACACTCCGAAACTTGAATAATACACACGCTGAGAATACTTCACGACAAAAGGTTCATGTAACTAGGACAATCCAGAGACCCAAATCTCTTGCATGTAAAATATGAAAATACAAACCCCTACAAATTTGAAAGAATACACTAAAAAAAGAGACTTGATGGTTACTTTCATGTCTTTAAGTAGGTTGCAGCTACGTTACCTCCTTCAGTACAGTTAAAGATGACTTAAAAAAATGCAAGCAAACTTCTTCAGCGTACAATGTCTGAATACTACAGCACTAAGGAAAGAAATAGATTCAACACATTAGGAATAGAACCCTTACCTTTCTGGAAACACACAACTTTCCTCAGCCGATGCTCATTACCTGCCACACCATCAGCCTCATCATGCTCCCAGCTTTCCCCTTTCTAGCTCAATGTACACATGATATAACGTAAAGGAGTATTTTCTATTCTACTTCATGAAATCAAAATAAGCAGAACCAGACCAAAAGAAAACGTATGGCTTTTGACATGCTATTACATGGCACATCAATCCTTTTGTTTTGTTATGTTACAGAGGATACATTAATAAAGCTTTTCAAAAATTATAAAACCCAACAGAGAAGCAGCACTTACTATACTTTCATAGCCTGTTCTCTTGGTTAATGTGACAGGGCAGCACAAGTTGTGGCTTTTTGCATACAGGCAATAGTGTCTGTTCTGTTCTGCAAGTCTAAAGCACTTAAATACCAATTAATAAGTACATACAAGAAACCCCAAACCATTTTATATACACACACACCTACATGTATACCCTGAGATAAATGTCAATATATTAGAATGCTGCTGACAACCCAGAGAATAACAAACTGTATTTGAAATTCAGAGATCTGGTAGAATTATCTGAAGAATAAAAGCAGCACATAGCAGCAAGTAAAGAGTTTTAGAATTAACTCTTTGGCTTGAACAGAAAAATCCTCTTTGTTAAGGTAAACAGGTTTTTATTCTCCTAGACAGGTAGGGAGGAAAGAGACATTTACAGCCACTATTTTAGGTCCACAAAACTCCCCTACATACTATTGGGAGGAAAAGATAGTAAATATGTTCTCACACTCACACAGACAGGCAAGAAATGGCAGATCCCGAATTTAAGCAAAGGAAGGACAATAAGCAATAAGGTAAACTGATGTGGTGAAGAGCCCACAGAAATTCCAGGAGCATCTCTGCCTGGTGCTAGTGAGCTACTGGAAATAAAATGGTATCAAGAAAAACCCACCCTGTGGACTCCACTGGCAGACAACATTCCCCTACAGCACAGCTGAACTGAAAGGAAGCATAAAAGAAGTGAATCCAGAGTGGAAATCTTACTTCTGCACCTCATCCAAACTCCATGAAACCTCGAATACACCATGGCAAGCGTAAAGATACAACAACTTGTAGGTACTCACTGACTGCTCATGAAGGTTTTTCTAAAACCATTAAGAACCTACAAATTTGGAACTTTTCTTCTGGTTACCAGCGACAGCCAATAACATGAGCAACGCATTAGGTTTCTGATAGCTTGGTTTCCACTTTAGAGTAGCAAAAGGACTTTGATACAGCTTGTGGTGGAAGGAGATCTGACAGTGCTCACTGAAAACAGAGCTTTCAAATATTCTACCAAAAATAAATAAATCAGAAAACCACAGCTCATTTTAGGACCAGCTGAAAATGGACACGTTGTGAATTTTCTACATCACATTTGAACTGAGGGGTGTGACAAATGCTAAGAAAAGGCCTCCCTTTCTCAAGTTACCTTCAAATTGTTTACAGCAGTAAGGAAAACTTTTTGGCAGAAAATACTGAACATTATTCTTCACATTTCTATGAGGGCCTACTGGTCATGAAGCGAGAGAAATAAAAATGCAAACGGTGTCTGTTTTCCATATTAAGCTTGAGAAAATAGTCCAAATTCTTAGAAGTTCCTGACTGAAAACAACGTAACAGCCCTGAAAGTACTGCAAATGGAAACAATTATTATCCCTGAGCTATTTAACATGGCCATAAATATAAGGTTAGGTGGGTTTTTCTTTTTATAATTAAGAAATCGCTTGCAAGTGTTAAAAACAAGAAGTCCTTCCTAACCTACAGGTTTATTTTTTTCTTTCCTGAAGGAATAAATGCAATGCCAAAGATACTCAAAGTATCACTTGTGCTATTAACCGAGTGCCTATGCACGTGGTCAAACAGCTACAGAAGTTTGTTCTTCACGTACTCCCCCAGCCCGCCTCCCATAAAAACAAAAACAAAAACAAGGAGTTCAACCAGGTTGTTCCTGGACGCCAGGGAGTTTTATTTATCCAAGAGATCATAACTGCTCTACATGAAAAGCATAACCCAGGATAATCATCTTTAAAACACAACTCGCAATTCTAAATTTAAATATATTTCAGATAAAAGTAGGGACAAGAGGGAGACATAAGAAACGCTACAGCCCAATTTTTGTGTTGCACGAAAAAAAGCCCTCAAATAACTACAGGAAAGTAACCCTACGTGACTGT